CAGGCTGGCCTCGAACTCAGAAATCCACCTGCCTCTGCCTCCCAAGTGCTGGGATTAAAGGCGTGCGCCACCACCGCCCGGCTATGATCCATGTTTTATTAGTTTGGTTAGTAAGCTTTTAAATTTATTGTATTTATTGTTATTGTTATTCAAGGATTTTTTTAATCCTGTATTTTAAATAGATACCTGACAGAATCTTATGGAACAGGCCAAGATATTGATGATAGAATTGTTGAAGGTATTGTTGATTTTTATTTATTATTGTTGGGTACCTTTCAAGTTGACTTAGAAGAATCTTATTTGTGGTCTACAATGCTTTCCTCTTAGTGATATGAGAGGCCTTCCCATCTCCTATAAACCTTTGCTCAGATACTTCCTTCATGGTGATCTAGTAACCTGTCATCTTTCTCATCCCCAGAGGCTTGTCCCCTAGATGACTCTAGACCTGTCCACTTGTCAATCAAAAGTAAAACTATTGCAGTAGATAAGCATTTAATCCTTGGGGAATGTGACATTACTTGATAATTTTTCTGTGTTATATTTCTAAAAGCATTTATTCCAGCATTTTCCCAATTTTTCTTCTTTGTGGAAATGTAATACGTATATTGCTTTATAATTTTTCTTCATGACTTTCTCATGATTTTTTGATGAAGTGTTTTCATTTCTTTTTCAATAGCTAATCCACTTTTAGAAGCGTTTGGAAATGCAAAGACTGTTCGTAACAATAATAGCAGTCGATTTGGAAAATTTGTAGAAATTCATTTCAATGAAAAGGTAAATTGAAGTTGCTTTTGTGATATATTTGGGAAGTGTTTGTGGTAAGTGTAAAGGTCTTATTATAATTGGAATCGGTGCAGTTCTTCCTAAGATTATTATTATTATTTTAACTGTTATTGTATGTTTGTATGTAGTTACAATGACTATCCAGAATAGTCATTTTCTAATATCAAATATTTCTAATATTTGATTTGGATAAATAACTAATCATAAATTTATAGTTATTTTTTATTCCTATTTCATTCTTTTGTTGTTTTGGGAAGATGTCATAATGTACATGATCACAGGACATTGCATGATATATAACTGTACATTATCTGTTGATTTACATAATCTGTAATGATCACGAGGGCAGTTAATGTCTTAACAGCAGATTTTCATAGTGGTGATCTGAGAGCTCTTTAGCAACAGTCTGTGGGCTGCTGGGGTGGACTGCAAAGTCAGTTCTAATTCTGGAGAGGCTCAGGGTGGAGATTGGACAATAGTGTTTAAAATGAAGGAGAAATATTCAAAGCTTACATTGTAGATGTTTTTGTCTAATATTTAATAAATATTTTAACTTCTTTGATAAGCAAATGTTTATTAGAAAAGATTAATTTAGCATTAAGGTATATTTCAATCCCATAAACACAAAATGTATTTTCTGTTTTGTCTTTAGAGTTCAGTTGTTGGAGGATTTGTTTCCCATTACCTTCTAGAGAAGTCTAGGATCTGTGTACAAGGGAAAGAGGAGCGGAATTACCATATTTTTTACAGGCTGTGTGCTGGGGCTTCAGAAGACATCAGGGAGAAGCTTCACTTGAGTTCCCCAGATAATTTTCGGGTAGGTTGGAGGAAAATAAATGTTATGCCAGGCTTGCAAATCATTTACCCTCTTAGTCCTAAAACTCACTGTTTTTGGATTCCTACTTGTTTTTGTACATAACTTATGTCAAATCAAGTACAATGGGCTTTCTGGACTAGCTATGAATTGCAACTATTGGGAATGATAAAGAGAGCACCTGTGTATAGATTTCTTTATTATTTACTAAACAATAAGGAATAATATTCTATCACAGAGTATTTATGTTATAGTAAGGATTATAAATTGCTACCCCATAACTATAATCTTGCTCTGTCATGAATTGTAATGTAAATGTCTGATATTCAGGATATCAGATATGTAAGATATCTGATGACCCAAAGGAGTCATGAGTTGAGAACCACTGGTCTAAGGCATTGATTCCCCTTGCCCCATGTGGATACCTGAGATCTAACTAGATAATATGTTAGAATTATAGCCTTACCAATGAACTCTCTATTGAGATTTACTTGTAAGTTTATCATAGGTTCAGTGTCCCTAATGTGAAAACTCCAAATCTCAAACACTGCATAGTCTGGGTCTTCATAGTTTAAAATTTGGGATGCTCAGCTTGAAAATTAAAGTAATTTTAATTACTCTGAAATGTAAGCAACTCTGAAATGTGAATCACTTTTTCAGAGTATTGAGATAAGTGATCCTCAGCATGTTTAACATTGTATGAGAAGATCTGTAATTCAATAGGTAAAAGGACAGATGTTTAATACCATATTAATTTAAACCCAATTAGAAATTTATAAGGTCTTGTAATAGTAGCCTTAAAATTATCTTTAATGTAGTTGTAAAAACTTCAATCACTGAATCGATGTTAGTGATGAATGTATTATTATTCCCCTTAGTTCAATTCTGCAATACATACTTGCTTGATATTGGGTGCTAGACATTGATCCAGGAATAAAAGACAAATAGGGCACAATCGTGTCCCTGGGCAACTTAGATTGTGATGGGAAATACACACATTGTCTGAATGTTATGCTGAATAGTAAGAAACTATGCATGCCCCACCTCAAATGCCGTGATGATTGGGGATTTGAAAATTCTAGTGGAAGAACTGATTACTTGAAGGAATGCTGGCGTGGGGCTGGAGCAGTGGCTCTGGTTAGGAGCACTGGCTACTCTTGCAGAGGACCTGGCTTCAGTTCTCAGTTCCCACATGATGGCTTACACCACTTGCAATTCCAGTCTGAGGGGATTCGGCATCCTCTTCTGACCTCTGCTTCTCAACTTAATTAGAGTTTGAAGTCGATTGATTATTATATCTTCATGAAATCAGAAGAGGCATTTTTGATGTTTTTTTTAAAAACGTATGTTACTCAAAATCATATGAATTATGATATATGTCTAGATTTTGCCAACACTTAGCTGGCCAGAAAGTAATGTGGCTACTGTGGCTTTAGTTTAGTGTTTCTTGGAGGCTTGGGAGAATAGCATTTCAATCTTAGAAGGTATAGCCTCCCCTAGCACAGTGCAGGACATCAAAGCAACCAAAGGCTTTCCTGACTTTCTATTGTGGACCATTAGGATGGATTTCATTTCCTCCAGGGCAGTTCCAGTGGTGGCAGGAGCAAGAGGGGGGTCTACATATGCTATAATCGACATTCTTTTCATGTAACATACAACCACATTTTTATTGTGTTCCCCAAATGGCATGAAAATGTTCTGATAATTTCATTGGTTGTTTGTTTGTTACTTTGTCCTTCTAATTTACTGATAGGTTGTTAATGCAACGCAGAGCATGCAGGCATGCTTTTACAATGGCTGAACTTTATTTTGCCATTACTTTATCCAAACTGATTTATAATGTAGAGATTTACTGCTCCAACATACTTGAAGCAACCACACATGTATCTTGCAAAATAGAAAGCTGGAAATGCTCAACGTTATCAATTTAAAAACATTTGTACACATTTTATGGAAGCATTTGGTACAGTCAGGCAAAAATCGTGGAGTATGAAGAAAGTGTATACAGAGTGACAATGGGTGGCAAAAAGGTTGTATCTATTCTTGCCACAACAAAGCTGGAGGAAATCGCATCTTTCCTAGACCTTTAATGGTTTTGCAATTCTTGGGATCAACCCCAGGGTGGTGTGTATGCCATGCTGATCCTGGGTCACTGGCTTTCACCTTTAGCTCTCTATTTTTTGTTTCTTTGTTTGTTTGCTTAAGACAGAGGTTCTTTATGTAGCCCAGGCTGGACTTGAACTCACTTTGTAGCTGTGTTCTTTTCCCTTGGATCCTATGTTAATTGTACTTTTAATTCTTTGTCTTAGTATTTAAACCGGGGCTGCACTAGATATTTCGCTAACAAAGAAACGGACAAACAGATTTTACAGAACCGAAAAAGTCCTGAGGTATAGTAGATAATATTTTTAATGAAAATCTTTACTGTAAAAAATATTGCTAAAGGATTTGTCTTTATTTTGGAACGTCTTGCTTTCAAGTTTATGTCTTAAAACTACACTATGACACCAATCTCTCTTGTAGTGTGACACTCTAGACCTCTGTCATATATAGAACAGCAGGCTCTGGTTCTTCTTGGGCCCAAATGCATTGATTTTTCTCATGTTCTATTTTAGATTACTATACTATGACATTGCTTACAAGTAATTCAGCAGCATACTCAGATATTACTATTTGTAGTTAAGTATTAATAAGCTTTCCGCTGCTGTTGACAAAACACACAAGCAAATCACCTTGAAATGTAGAAGATTTGTTTTTGCTCAGTTTTATATTTCAGTCCATGGTTAGTTGTTTCTGTTTCTGGGCCATGGTGAGGCAGAATCCACAGTAGAGAGCATGTGGATAGGTAAAGCTGCTTACCTTTGGTGGCCAGAAGTGAGTGGGAGGTGAGACTGAGAAACGGAAGGAGAGAGGGTGTGTGTCAGAGATAAGGTAAAGACCGCAAGATCGCTAGCTCAGTCAGCCAAGTTTCCATACCTCTTAATAGCCCATCAGTGGATGGATCTATTGGTAAGATCAGAGTCCACATGACCCATCCACTTCCACAAAGCCATTCTTCTGAATATTATTGCATAGAGAACCAAGTCTTCCACACATGGGCCTTTGAGGAATATCCCAGGAGAAAGCATAAAGTATGCCTTTTTTTTTTTTTTTTTGGTTTTTGGTTTTGTCTTTCGAGACAGGGTTTCTCTGTGTAGTTCTGGCTGTCCTACAACTCACTCTGTAGACCAGGCTGGCCTTGAACTCAGAAATCCGCCTGTCTCTGCCTCCCAAGTGCTGGGATTAAAGGCGTGCGCCACCACTGCCCGGCATAAAGTATGCCTTTTAGTTTATTGTCTACTGAAATAAGATTTGACATAGACAGTAAGTACCTAAAGCATTCTTGTGAAAGACTGTTTACATATTATTTTGTTCTATCAACTATATATCAGGAGTATATTATGAAGTTTTATATATGTTTGTTTCTAAATAATTTAATTATTATGTAATTATTATTTTGAAAATATTAAATCTTTAAGAATTTTAAACTTTTATAAATTTTAACCTACAGAATTTTAGTAGTAAATTTTGTTGTATCTAAACAACACATTTCAGTTATAAAAACTAAATCATGATTAGTTATTGACACTAGTTAATCTTGACTTATTTTTAAAAAGGTATTTATGTCAGTTGAATAACTTTTTGCTGTTAGCAGTTCTTAATGATTCTGCACTTGCCAATCAGATGTTTTGATTTTACTCAGATTGGGTAAGTTAAATTATGTATATAATACATTAATGTAAATGAATAGAAAGAAGATAAAATTATCATTTCAAATCATGAACACATGATACTACAGTTAATACTTGTTTAATTTGATATTTTGCATATTATTTTTAGATATAGATATCTGAGTTATGCATAAATTTTAAGTTAGAGCCACAGCTGAGACTTTTGGACACAATGTCAACATTTATTATAGTATTTACTACATCTTGAAAAACTCCGTTTTTGTAAGATACTATCAAAATATGTAAGTTGTAGTCTTTCCACTAAAATAATCAAGAGCCACCCAAAACAACTGCAGCGGTCCTGTAGGGAAAACACAAAAAATGCAAAAGCAAAGAAAAGCAAATGAGGAGAAGGGAAAACTGATGCTTTGCCTCCAGAGAGCAGTGTGCGCGCATGCGTGTATGCGCGAACAGTGCCAGAGAGGAAAATACCTTCCTTCAGTATTTCAGAGTGAAATACTTTCTCAGAAATCTTACATCACTGAGAGAGAATGTGCATGTGTATGATACGTACAAGTGAACCGTGGATTAACATATTTAAATTACTTTTTATCTCTTCTTTGTCAGGAGGACGAGGTGATCATTTTGACTAAGCCCTTTGCTTCATTCTGTTTGGGTGTCTTTCTGCTGTGTGCAGATTTTAGGAGAATGCAGTATTTTCAGTCTGCTGTGAAGCAAATGGTTCATGAGGATTTGGTTAGAAAACAGTATTTAAAATGCTGCCGATGCTCAGCAGAGAGACTAAAAATCCTGCATGACAGTGTTTCTTTCAACTTTGCATGTGGTTGTTGCCTTCACCTCTTTTAAAGAACAACATAGAATTTCAGTTTCTAGACATTTTCCAGAAATCTGGCGCATAATTAGACATTTAAAGCATCTTGTGAATAGCAGGCAGCAGTTGCATGCTGGGGGAAGAAAACATTCCCCGGAAGCGTCAGACATTTTTGATGCTCAATAATTCTGATACTGAGGTTTTATTTTAACTTTAGCTTTAATGCTCAAGTTCTGGAAAATTTCTAGGTTAGTTTTTCTGTGTCTAGTATCTTCTCTTTCTGTTTCTTCTTTTAGCTTTGCAGCACTAACTTTCTTCCCCCTCTGTCTGAGTTTACTAGACCCTAACATATGAATACTTAAGATGCATATTCTTCTAGAAGAGAAACAGAATTTCTGTTCATGTTTTCTTTTTTTCAAGAAAGGCCTTGCATGGATCCCTGGAGTTAGACTATTGTGTAGTAATTCACCTCAGCTCATACATACAACATAGAGAAGTAACAGGACTATTTGTCAGGCCATGAAGACGCTGTAATCTTACCTGGATTTACTTCTGGTTACATGGATGTAATTGTCAGTGGTTAATCTAGTTCCGTGCCTATTGGCACATTAAATTCCTTATTACACTTCTTTTCACTTGTCCTGTTTTTTTGCATATTCATTTTTAATTGAAAAAATTGCATATATTTGTAACTATCTGGGTTATTATGGAAGATTTTCTTACTGTATAAATCATGGAATGACAGAGTCAGACAAACACCCATTACTACCTGATTGCTTTTTTTTGGAGGCTGTCACTTCATCGCAGTCATTCCTTCCCTTTTCACTAATTCATACTTTCCTAACATCTTATACTTATACTTATATTATATAACGTTATATTAGACGTAGACTTATAGTGCGTTAGAGGTAGCATCATGCTTTAGTTGCAGAACATCTTACTCCATTGTTTTAGTTGAAGTTTTTATTGAATTATGGACTCACATGAAGTTTTAAGAAAATAACACAGAGAGCTCTTTCATACACTTTCTATACCATTCTGTTTTTAAATGTTTTCAAATGCTTACGTTTTTCTGTTGACAATTTTATTTTTGCATGTCATACATTGCATTAATAGACCTGCTGTTGTAGTCTTTAGTTTACTTGAATCACATAAAGACCAGTCAGTTGACACTTCTTGTTTTATAGTATGTTAAGGCAGGTTCCTTGAAGGATCCTCTATTAGATGACCATGGAGATTTTATCAGGATGTGCACAGCCATGAAAAAAATTGGTTTGGATGATGAAGAAAAACTTGATCTGTTTCGAGTCGTAGCTGGTGTCCTGCACCTTGGAAATATTGATTTTGAAGAAGCCGGAAGCACTTCAGGTTGTTTTTAAAATTTTTTTAACTAAAGGATAAAATTGGGTGTAATGTTTGTCCTCTCCTAGCCATATGAATATTCAGTGACTTGTGTGTAGGTTTGTCAAAATTACAACAATTTTCTGGGACATTTTCTGTTATATAGTGACTGTAACAATATATACTACACCATCATGAACAAATTAGTAGTTATTATGAGGTTCATACTTTAAAATTTTTCCTACTATACTTTTAATAGTTAATAGACAATTCTCTTATTTGTTAATATATCCTTTTAGCTTTTTCTGTTTCATAGACCTAAACTAGAATCAGTTAATTGAGGTGATTTGATATACGGCAGTGCATCCTTCTTTAGTGAGAGATAAAAATAAAAGTTTCCTTTTAATGGATGTTGAAAAGTATTTAAGTGCAAACAAGTTAGTGTTTTTTCACTCCTAGTGGTTCCATTACTGTATAAGCAATAAGACTTTTTCATAATTGCAGATTAGATACCTGGGTATGGAATTGACAAACCTAGTTCATCACCTGTTTTTGGAAATACAGTATTAGTGAAATATAGCCACACCCATTGTGTGTTGTTTATACCCGTGTTCATGCTAAAATGGCAAAGTTGTAGTCAGTAGAGACTGTGCCCTATCAAACCAAAAATATTTACTACCTGCTCCCTTAGAATATAACATTTTCCAGTCCTGGATTAATACATTTTCTTAGAAAGTTACACCAAGAGTGAGTTAAGAGTCTGAAGCACCACTTAATACAGCAGCCAACACTATGAGTTTGATTCAGATCTCACAGGTACATTCATTTGTAAAGTGAAATAATACATAAGTGCCTTTAAAAAGTACAATTCTCAGTAGTGGTATATGTAGAGGAAAGGGACTCCCAGAGAAAGAGGGGAAGGTCGCTTAAGAAACAGTGTGTTGGGCTCAAGATTGCCTCAGTGTGGAGAACTTCTCCTCCTCCATGTCTCTCTCTGCTTCCATCTGTCCTTTTTAAAGTTTGAAGGTTTTTGTTTGTATGAGTGTATGCACACTCCATGTGTTCCTGGTGCCATAGAAACCATAAGGGCGTAAGATCCTGTGGAACAAGAATTACAAGCAGTTGTGAGCCTCCTTGTGGGTGCTGGAAACTGAACCTGTATTCTCTGAAAGAACAGAATGTGCTCTTAATCACTCAGCCATCTCCCCTTTCTGGAGACAGGTCTCATGTAGCTTAGACTGGCCTCAAAGTGATCGTCTAGTCTCCCAAGCGCTGGGATTAGACGTATGTTCCATAATACCCAGCTTTGTTTACCATTTTGAGGCCACAAGTTTGATCCTAAGCACTGGGAGAAAAATGTCTTCTCTGCAATAAGATCCTTCATAATCATAATTGAAACATAGGAAGTGATGAGATTGGAGATGCCTCCATTTTGCAGACATGGACCCTGCACAGTGGTGCTAAACATAGATACCAATAAAGTGATAGAAAGGAGACCCTTGTTTTACTTATAGGTGACTAGCTCAGGCGATTGTCGTAACTGTCTCTCATTTCCTTCAGGCCACTGAACCTTGTCATCCATGAGTGAGCAGACTAAGATAGACAGTCCTCAATGACTTTCAGGTCTATTGTCCTATAATGTTAGACATAACATAGAGTACTGGATGAGCACATGGCCCTGAGTCAAATTGCTTCATCATGTGCTATCTGTTTCTATGACCTTGTCCCTTCTGTGTCTTAGTTTTCTCACTGTAAAGAGATAATAGCTCCCAACTTGTGTTGTGAAGAGAAGTCAGTGAGTTAAGTATTTACAAAATGTTTTGAACACTGGTGTTTGGCAGATAATAAGAAAATGAATCCAATTAAACACTCTTCATTTTCATTGAAATGAAAATACATTAAAACAAAATTAGATACCTGGAATATGCATTAATAATCAGAGTTTTTTAAAAAAGAGGAATTGGAAAATTTCCTTTGTGAATGTATTAAAACATGCATTTCATTTGTACTTCAGCATTACAGGAAGGGAATTTGTGGGAGAGCCTAAATAATACAAAAAATAATTTTAACTGTAGAGTAGTTGACATACTTAGGAATGTTAGAAATGGTAAGGTACTTAGAAGTGGTAAGAGACTTTCCTGTCTCTTATTACTGCCCTGAGGAAGGACATGCAGATGTATAGAATATCCGAAATATCATGTGACCAGCTGAAGGGTGTCCAGTGACCAATGGGACATGGCATGTGCTTGCTTTCTCTCTTACTTTAAAAAATACTCCTTTCTGTTGTGTGAGAAATAGGAGTTCAAGGAGACTGGGGTGAGATAAACATTAGATCGCTTTTATTTTAATAGGTAATTTTTTGTATTAAACTTCATTCTTTTCTGTGACCTTCCATGGATCTAAAACATTTCCTGCTAATTAAAAATGAGGTGTTCATTTTCTTTCTTCTTCCTATAACTTCCTTGGGTTGTCATAGTGACTTATGCAGAAACCAAGAACTTTTGTAATGATTTTAACACAAAGCTCATTTTCTAATTAATGTTTGTAAGGCTCCCCAATGTCATAATACTGTTTTATTTAGTGGAAGTGTAGAAAGAACCTGTTAGGACTACCTATGATTTAAAAATCTCATGTAACTAGCATGTATGCCATAACAGGAACAATATCACAGTAAACAACATAGCAGTAATAAAAATGCTTAGAGAACATCGTTAGGGAGTGAGTGACATTAACACTCTATATTACTTGGCAGTTTTTACCTTTTCAAGATTAAAAGAGTTTTTTTTTTAATGTTGATCTACATCATTCTTGTAAGAAATGCTGTAATACAGTAAGAGAGAGAGAGAAAGAGAGAGAGGGAGAGAGAGAGAGAGAGAAGAAAAAGAATAAACATTTAAGTAAATGAATGGGTTCCTGGTATTTCCTCTTGTGTGTAATTTAGATTTGTCGGACAAAGGGATTATAGTCCTGGCAGGGGTGGCAGAAGATTCTGTCACAGTGTTCAGAAGAATGCACAAGTGAAACTTAAGAATTGTTTATTTCTGGAATTTTCCACAATAGTTTTGCCTCAAGTTGGCAGCAGGTAACGGAAACTGTGGAATGTGAATCTGCTGGCAGGAAGGGTCTCTTTCACTGTGGATCTGCCCCAGGCTAGGGTTTCCTGTTGAACTTGCTAGTAGGAGTGTCCAACAAGGATGGAAAAAAGTGAGCTGGATTTGAAAGTTAAAAGCAAACATCATCTATCCCATAATGTTACATAAGTAAAGAAAATGCTAAGAAACAAACCTAGAAGGTCTCATTTATCTAGTGCTTATATAAATTAACTTCACATGGAAACATTTCCCTTAGGTGGCTGCAATCTGAAGAATAAATCTGCCCCATCACTGGAATACTGTGCTGAATTGCTGGGTTTGGACCAAGATGATCTTCGAGTCAGTTTAACCACTAGAGTCATGCTCACCACAGCAGGGGGCACCAAAGGAACCGTTATAAAGTAAGCTCTACCTCATTGCTCTGCAGAAATTCTGCCTTGTGGTCTGTCATGGAAAAATACTTAGATTTTGAAAACGCTGAGATTTAAGGTCAGGGTTTCGCTCTTGCCATTTGAATGTTCAAGCTGTACTTGGTATTTCAGAATTCTGTGCTTCCAACAGCTGTAGTTGATCACATAAATAAATAGGGATTTGCACAGCTTGGAGTTGTTTCTTGAACATATTCTCCATGATACAAATTTGGAATTTATTAAACAGGCAATACTTGCTTTTGTACAGCTATCAACATTTCGTTAAGTTTTTGATTGTTTTAGACAACAGAGTCGTTTCTTTCAAATGTGTGTATGAATGGTATATACTAAAGCTCCTACTAAATGCAACTCACTTTATAGACTATCCAGGGAAAGGGAACTTCTTGTTACACTTACTATTTTCTTTCATTTAGAGGAAATCACAAGTGATAGAAAATAAGGCCATAGTCACATCTTTTTATTTCTTGTCCCCTCGGAAATATTTATTCACTTGTCTTTTGTGTGGGCACATGTGTGATTATGATGTTTGTACATGTCAGTTTGTACATGAAGTGTGTGTATGCACTTGGGTGCCTGTATACTTGTGTGAGTGGAGGGTAGAGGCCGCCCTGAGTATCCTCCGCAACCTTTCTCCCCTCATCTTCTGAGCTCCCCTCACCTTCCAGAGCTCATCTGTTTTGCTGGGGTGGCTGCCCAGGGAGTCCTAGAGATTCCCTCCTCATAGTTGGGTTACAGATGTAGTCACCACACTAGCTTTTACATAAATCCCAATTTATGTCCTCATGTTTCTGTGGCGGGCACTTCACCAAGTGAGCCATCTCCCAACCCCTGTGGCTAAGATTTTTAAAATCAGTAACCAAGAGCTTCAGATTGTGCCATATTACATAGTTTCAGCTTAATAGCATATATTTTATGAATTTTGGTTTTAGATACAGTAGCATAAAATTAGTACTTAGGTTTACCATTCACAAGTATTGCCATGCAAAGTCTTTATTTTTGAGGAAAAAGTCAATTCCCTATCCCTTTCTAAAGTCCTATCCCTTTTCAAATATGACAGCAAATGAACACAAGTGACTTACTTAGAAAAATATTTGGCAATTACAACAAAGCCAGGTGTGGTGACACAAGCCTGCAATCCCTGCGTTTGGCAGGTTGAGACAGAAAGGGATGAGGCCTGCCAGAGAAACATAGAAAGACCTTGTCTCAAAAACAAGAAACTCGCCACACATTTTTTCCTAGTGATGCAGTATTTTAAGGTGATGAAGTCGCCAGTTAGTTCTCTTTCTTCAGTACCACTCACGTGCCCATTTCTGTACTGTTTTAGAACAGCTCTGTCACAGTTTCTGTCTTGTATATACACACAAACTTACAGAGAATTCCGCTGTTGAGTTTATTTGAATGAGTCTTTATTTTATTTATTAGTTTATTATTTACTTTTGAGGCAGGATTTGGCTGTGTATCTGAAGCTAGCCTTGAGCTTACAATCCTCCTGCCTCAGCTTTCTAAGTGCTGGAATTACAGGCATGTTATACCATACCAAACATGCTTGCATAATTTTCTCTTGATTTTTCAACAGGGTTTCTGTGTAGCTCTGGTTGTGCTAGAACTCACTCTGTAGACCAGGCTGGTCCCAAACTCACAGAAAGCTACCCACTTCTGCTTCCTAAGTGTTGGGATTAAATGCATGCACCACCACTGACCAGCCCATGCTTTAATAATTTAAAAGTCACTCAACAATTGGATATTTTTTGTGTTTTCCCATTGTACTAAGTACTTAAGATCTAGCATAGCATTTGGAAAGTCCCCTCTATGATATGTTCTTTTTATTAGACTCTAATTTTATTGAGGAAAACAGCTTGCATTTGTGTCTATAATATTGAATATCAGCATCCCATATAGTTACTACATACAGGAGTTGGAGAGCCAAAAAAAGCCTTTTTATTATTGTCTAATAGTATATTTTAATCTAATCCTAGTTAATTGTTTTAGTTTGTCTCTTGTAATTTTCTCCTTAATTTTCTCTCTGCTTACTCACCTATCACTTGGTAACTATTTCTTCTGTATAGGTAATATGTTCAGATACGCTTTGACTTTATGCATCCAGCATTATTTTCAAAGTCTGTCCCTTTAAGGATTTTTCCTTGGACTATTGTTTTTCTAGAGTCCCCCTGAAAGTGGAGCAGGCAAACAATGCTCGAGATGCTCTGGCAAAGACGGTCTATAGCCATCTCTTTGATCACGTGGTAAACAGGGTGAATCAGTGCTTTCCTTTCGAAACATCTTCTTATTTTATTGGAGTCCTGGATATTGCTGGTTTCGGTAAGCATTGTTTCTTTTGTTAATTTATGTTTGATTTCTTTTAAAAACAAAACAAATATAACAATGTTTTCTCTAAAGCTGTTGTGGTAACCTTTCTCATTGCTATGGCCAAATACTAGAAGGAAGCAAAAGAAGGCAGTGTTTACCCTGCCTTGAGGTTCCAGAGTTTTCAGCCTTGGTGGAACAGACTTGCTGGTATCCTGAAGGCCAGGAGGGGAGGGGGCAGAAGAGGAGAAAGAGGAGGTGGGGAGAGGATGTGACTATATATGGTAGCTTTTTGATCTCTTGTTGCACTTGGACCCCCAGCCCCTGAGATGGTACTTCTCACATTCAGGGTAGGACTTTCTGTTTGGTAGCATTCTCTGGAAAGACCCTCACAAACACCAGGGGTGTGCTTTAACAATTTTCTTGGTATTTACTTATCAGTCGAATCAAGTTGACAATCAAGGTAGAAGTATTAGAAACCTTTTCTTCTTGTGATTCACTTGACATAATTTCTTTAAGTGTTCATGTCTGCACCTCATAATGCAGCTTTCAGAGAAAGCTAATTAGTCCTAAATTAAAACATGATCATCTAAACTGTTCAGTTGAGAGGTCTCCATACTCAGCTGAACGAAAGATAACCCCCTGAGTGCTGCTGCTAAAAATAACAAAGCTGGAATATAGTTTCAGAACACATAAACTCCCATCACTGATGAGATTTCATCATCTTTAGACACTTGTTAGCATGACACACATGTTCAGAGTGTGAAATTGTAGAACCTCATGGATCTTAGACATAATTCAACCCTCAACTTTAGAATGAATCACTGTCATAGAATTTTTGGTAACAGATTAAACCAGAAGAAAATCTCCTAAAGTACATACATTTTAAATCATTTTTGTACTCTAGGTTGCTTTAGTGCCTGCGTTTTAGAAAATAATGTTAAAAAGAGTTTACTTCTAAGTTTTTGACTTTCATACTGTAGAACATTTATGTGATGGGGCACTTTTTTTTTTTTTTTGGTATGGTAGAACAAGGTATTTCTGATATGTAGTTTTAGTGCCTGACAGTATATGTCTTGAGTTAACACATTTTGGGGACATAGAACAAACAATTTTGTGTGTTTTTTAAGCCCAGTTTTAAATTAAACCATTGACACAGCAACTCCTGGGATAAATTTATGCACATTGTTGATGGTGACAACTCTATTCTGTTTTTGTGATTACAGAGTACTTTGAGCACAACAGCTTTGAGCAATTTTGTATCAACTATTGCAATGAGAAACTTCAACAGTTTTTTAATGAAAGGATCCTGAAGGAGGTGAGTAATGATATTTAAATTTAAGGTTCCCATTAAGCTGTTTACATTTCAAGGAAGAAAATCATGTTGCAGTTACCCTGACTGGTGGTGTCTGACTTGAGGTGGCAGGTGGTCCAGCAAATGCTGGCAGTTCAGCTGAAGTTTGGGGCCCTTGTAAGAGCTAAGAGGCAGCTTTGCAGGAGGAAGGCCTGTGATTTCTTACCAGTGACTTTCATTAGTAAACCTCAGCTTACCATTTTTCCTCTTGATTTGGTTGTTTCTATTTCTGCCACTGTCCTTCTCAGTGTCTGCTTCTGCTTGCTCTGCCCATTTTGTTACCTCTCTATGAACATCAGCAAAGCCACCAGTCAGGAAATTTTGAGTAGCCACTGGCCAGGAGTACCTCTGGCTAGCACTGTGCCTACTGTGCCATTTTGTGTGCTACAAACTGCTTTTGAATGGCCTGTCTTTGGCCAGCCACCGTTTGCTCTTCAGGAAGGAATTTACTTGCTCTGCTCTCAGTATAACTCTGGGCATGGCTGACATTCAACATACCAAGATAGACTAGGAAAAGTTATTTTATGATTCTTTAGAATTTAGTCAACACAAAGATAGCTTTGGATAAATTGATTTATTCCAAGGCTCATTATTTTCTCCCCTAAAACCTGAATTCTCCAATATTTCCTACCAGTACCTTTGTTTTCCTTCCTCTGTGCTGTCTGCGATAGGTTTTGCTGATTGAAGATGCTAGAGTAGAGGAACTGGAAAGTTTATCCAACACAGCCGTCATTGTTCAGATGAGGAAGGCAGGTCTGAGGGCATTCCACAACTTCCCTAAACTTGAATCTCCTTTCCTGGCTGTTGGTCCACACCCAGTACTTACTTTCTTTGTTTCTTTGTTTCTTTCTTTGTTTGTTTCTTTCTTTCTTTGTTTCTTTCTTTCTTTGTTTCTTTCCTTATTTCTTTCTTTGTTCCTTCCTTCCCTCCTTCCTTCCCTCCTTCCCTCCTTCCTTCCTTCCTTCCTTCCTTCCTTCCTTCCTTCCTTCCCTCCCTCCCTTCCTCTCCCTTTCTTTCTTTCTTTCTTTCTTTCTTTCTTTCTTTCTTTCTTTCTTTCTTTCTTTTTCTTTCTTTCTTTCTTCCTTTCAGGGTTGCCATCCCTGAGTATTTGAGCTGAAATATGTAGTGTTTTTTTTTCTTTATTTCTATCTAATCTATCTTTTCCCATATTTTGTTTTTGTCTTTGAAAGGTTTCTGGCATATTATTGCATTTTTTAACTTTTAGATAGGCTACAGCTAATTAGTTGTAGCATAAACAAATGAGGAAAGCAAGTACTTTCCTGTAAGACAGTGTCTCTGTTCTGTCCAGCTGTGCTGTTAGTCCTTCCCTTGCTGTAATGCATGCTTCACATGCATGTTTCACTTGTAACATGTTATAATCCATCCTTTCTAGCTCAGCTCACACTCCACATAGGAACAGGAACCACATAAGGAGGGCACACTGTCTTATGTTTTCTTTTATTACAGTTCATTAAGTATGTATATGAATTTCAAATTCACATTGTGTTCAGGTTGGCAATGCCTTGTGGCGTGTATGGGAACTTCCCTGACATAGGTCATGAAAAGAAATATTTAAGCATGGGGGGGAAATGTTAGAACACATTAATTTAAGTTAAACTTATAGGTTACCTATATCATAAAAATTTGTCTCAAAATTATTTTAAGAAGAAACTGATTTATATAGAGAGAATATGTTTTCATGGAGATATTATTGATGTATCATTCTTTCTAATTATATGTATTATATTGCTATGGATTCTTTGTACCCATAGTTGGCTTCAAGTGTTCAAACTTAGTTTCATCTTTAGGAAGCCATTTAGGGCTATACTTGTTGGTAAAATCTTTTATATTTTAACCAGTAACGGAAATGACAATAAGAACACCAAAGTCTGGTGGCATTTCACGTTGCATGATATTTCCATGTTGATGACGATCATATTTGATTTACAGGAACAAGAACTGTATCAGAAAGAGGGCCTGGGTGTTAATGAAGTCCATTACGTGGACAATCAGGACTGCATAGGTATGGGTACTGCTATTCTGCCTTTGGGAAATATAGGGGAGACAATGGATGCATTTACTGGGAACAACTCTGTGTTCAATGAAACCACTGAACATCGTTAAAGGACATAGTTAAAGGACTTGGGACTGTGGTATTGGAGATGGGGTCTTTAGTAGTACACCTTGTCAGTTATTTGTCCTGGCAAGGCATCCTTGTCAGCTGGGTTGAAAGGTTTTCTAAGAATCTCTGATTATTGTGATACATATTTTACTACTCTGAAGGCTTTTGGGTGAACCAGGTAAAAGGGAAGCTGCATCATTCATGGAATAAGTAGACAACTATGTTGTCTGTTATGACAAAGTGCACAGTTTGGTGAGGTTTGCCAGGGCCTCTTAGTTCTGTTCTCTTCTGTGAATGGCAATGTCTCTCACTAACTGCTTTTGAAGTTGGCTTTTGAAGTTTCATGTCAAAGCTAGATAATACTGTAAAACAGGGGACCCTGCTTTTCTTTGAGTTTATCAATAAAGAAACCTTGTCCTACTTCTCCCCAGCACTCTTTGTCTAATTAACTAATTAATTAATGAATCAATTAATTTGAATGAATGTTTTGCGTGCATGTGTGTCTCTGAACCACATTCATACCTGGTATCCACAGAAGTCAGAAGAAGGCATCTGATTTCCTAGGACTAGAGTTACAGATGGTTGTAAATGCTGTGTGGGTGCTGGGAATTGAACCCCGTTTTAGCTATCAAGCCATCTCTCCATCTCCACTCACTCTATTTCTCTTCTTTTATACCCCATCTCTAAAGTCAAGTGTTGGGTAAGTCTAGGAATTGAAAGACCAATTTGATAGTGTGGTCACAATTGTCTAGACTTTGCCAGTATAGTGTAGAGTAGGAGGCTGTGTCAGTGTAGCCTTTCAAAGTCTTCCCTGTTCTCCCCTGCTCTGCTCAGCATCCTTTTAGCCACTGTGTCTTTTCTCACCTCTGGGCATTGACCATGAGGATGTTAATCTGCCTGGAATCTTTGCTTGTCTGTTGATCCATTTGCCCACTTCTTTCTCATTCAGTAGCTACCTGAATACTTTTCAGTACAGCTTAGGTCAGCATGTTCATTGTCTTCATCACCAATTTTCAAAGAAGTTCATTTTCTTATTGAACCTTGGCTTCTCGTTCTGTGTTCTGGAACTATTCTAGCCTATATAATCTATATCTATGTCTGTCTGTCTGTCTGTCTGTCTGTCAGTCAGTCTGTCTGTCTGTCTGTCTGTATGTATGTATGTATGCATATAGCAAATTGGTATAACTTGCTGAGCCCATTTCACTACTTGTATGTATATGGTTTCAAGGCTGACCATTTTGCAGTGGACAACCAATAAGGGGCTTATGCCTGAGAGAGGCTAATTATCTATCTTCCAAAACTCACTAGTTGCCTATAGTTCTTCATCTAGGTGTGGGACCACATGAAATTTCCCCTGTCCACATTAATATGTCTATTGATATTGCCATTGTTCTGGTCTTTTCATACATTCATTTCTAGGAGAGACAGGTTTATAGCAGGATTCCTGGTATTCTGGCTCTTACAATCTGTCACATCCTTCTGTGATGTTCCTGGGGCCATGAATGCATGAGCTGATGAGTCACTTTCTTTGGGAAGTTGTTTCCCCATAACCTATATTAAAACTATGGTGTTACCCTGAAATAAATGACCATATTTGAAATGAAAATTCTCCCATTTCTAGATGGCCTTCTACAGAAAAAGTTCATGATTATCTCTTATAATCCAAATACTTTTTGAAGCCAATGTGTAAATTTTCTTTAAAGTATTATTTCATCACTATGAATATTTTGATATCTTAAAATAGATTTAATTGAAGTGAAATTAGTGGGAATCCTGGATATTCTGGATGAAGAAAATCGTCTTCCCCAGCCGAGTGACCAGCACTTTACATCTGTGGTTCACCAGAAGCACAAAGACCATTTCCGGCTAACTGTGAGTTTGCCATTCTAAAACGGAGGTTCTACTGAGAAGAGAAATCATTAGGCTAGCAGTTGCACTAGATTTCAGATGTAGTTAACCACGAGAGTCATAGTTATCCAAAGACTTGAGCAATTAGATTATAACCAGCAAACATTGTCTTTAGATGGGTATAACATTATGTGTGTGAGTGTTTGTGTGTATGTGTGTTTATGTGCATGGATCTCCGCATACATATTTGATGATAAAGTTTTAGCCTAGTGCAGTAGCTCATGCAGCCAGAGAGGGAAATGGATACCGAATTGTTAGGGAGATTAGGTAGCATAAAGGGAAGAGGAGACAAGGCAAACAATAAAAATAAGTGAGAGCGAGCCTTTACCGAAGCCCAGATTGCTGAAATGCTGTTGGCTCTTGAGTCCTGGTGGCAGTGGAAGTGGAGCGGTTCTCTGGGAACCTGGTGTTTGTGGCTGTTAAACCGTTTTCTGTGTTCCTCCAACTCTGTGCTTCTCCCTCCACTCAGTCATTGTCTCCTGAGGTAGCACATAGTTTCACCCCTAAGTGCAGAACGATCCTGACCAGCACAGGAGTACTGACTTCAGTTTCAGTCACAAAGGTAGATGCTGCCTCATGTTGGAGAGACTAGCAGTGGGACTCTCCCCACTTCCCTCAAAAGAAGACACAACAAGAAACTAGAGAAGCTACTCAGAATCGCTTAGAGGGTTGAGGGTACGAGTTGGCAAATGCCTCCATTAACAGTGTGTGTTTTGAAGTTGTAAAATACGGTATCGGTCATTGCTTTGATAGGTCAGCTGCTTAAATGAATGGTAACAAATGTGCTCATTTCTATTTACTGTTAACAAAATAACAGTGCACACACACACCAGGTGCTACTAGAGGCCCCTATTAATATGTTAAAAGAGGCAAGGATAATTCAAAATTTAATTTAAAAAGTTGATAAAACATCAGTGGAGCCGGGCGGTGGTGGCACACGCCTTTAATCCCAGCACTTGGGAGGCAGAGGCAGGTGGATTTCTGAGTTCAAGGCCAGCCTGGTCTACAGAGTGAGTTCCAGAACAGCCAAGACTACACAGAGAAACCCTGTCTCGAAAAAACCAGAAAAAACAAAAACAAAAAACATCAGTGGAAGATAGATTCCCATGGCTGAAAACCTCATGTCTGGACCACAGAATCATCTGCTTCATTGACTTACAGTCTTACATATCCCTGATAGTTACCCCAATGCACGGTACTTTGGTGGAAAGAAACAAGACAATATGTATTCTCAATAAAACTTTTGCTAATTTTAAAGCTGTGTACCTAGTGTTGCTTGTTTATGTCTGTTTAATATGTGCCCGCTAATGCACGGTTGCCGGGCACATATCAAAAAACAAATCAATAAACAGAACTGTGACTAGAATAATCCCAGAGACTTGTAACTTAAAGACAGCAAGCTCAAGCAAAAAGAATGAGGTCTGGCGGCTTTTCTCAGGGAAAGCAAGCAATATCAAAGCAACACACCCAATTTACAGAGCCCGTTTGTTTTGCCGTGTGTTTTTGGGACTGAAGGTGATGGTCATTCATGGAGACTTGGCATTGTCTGAGTGCTTTTACTTGAATGATTTCATTTAATTGTATTAGTACGCTCGTTTTACAGATGAAAGACAGACAAGGGGAGATAAGTGAGTTGCCTGAGTGGTATGTGAGGATGGTGGATTAGGAGGCAGGTGAGGTGGTGTGGCCACAGAGACCCTGTTCTGGCTCCTGGGTGATGGTACTTCTTCTTTTCAAAGAGCTCAGACCTGGGCTCCCATGGCTTAGTCTTTCCATTTTAAATGATACTCTCTCCTTCAGCCTGGGTTATTTTTAGAGACATAAGTGATCACACATGTGAAAGTATTTTGGAAAGTTTAAATAATCCAAGTATGAAATACTGTAATTAAGTGTTAAGGCTCAAGGAAATGGTATAGTTTCCTTGAAGTGGTTTCAGGCTCGTTGTGTAAAATAAACGTATGGTTGGTTTGAGATACCAGAAGTGTCTTGTGCTGACCTCTACACTTGGGAATCATTCATTTAAAACTCCCCCAGCCCCCAGTGATTCTAATAAGCATTAAGATTGAGCTTTAGAAATAGGTGGTAAATTAAAAATATTAATGTTTTATGTTCACTTTTAAATGAAGTTTTATTTTAAAAAAAGGATTTTATTTTTATGTGTCATCATGGCAGTGCCAGCAGAGTTCAGCAAAAGATGTTGGGTCACTTGGAATTGCAGTGGTTTTGGGCTGCCAGACATGGTTCCTGGAAACTGAGCTCAAGTCTTCTGGAAGAGCAGGAAACACTCTTTTTTTTTTCTCCATGAATTTACTTATATATTCACTTTACATCCTGGTCACAACTCCTCCCTCCTCACAAATACCTCCCTTCATTATCCCCTTCCCTTCTCCTCTGAGGAGAAGGGAAAGCTGTCCCCCCACCTCCCTTGGGTACCACCTCATCCTGAGACATCAAGTTGCAACAGGACTAAGCGAATCCTCTCCCACTAAGGCCCAACCAGAAAATCCAGCTAGGGGTAGATAGGGGATCCACAGACAAGCAACAGAGTCAGACACAGACCCCTGCTCGCCAATTTGTTAGGGAACCCTCGTGAACACCAAGCTGCACATCTGCTACAAAAGTTGGGGGGGGCTAGGTCCAGCCCATGCATACTCTTTAGTTGGTGGCTCAGTCTCTGTGAGTCCCCACAGGCCCTGGTTGGGGCCTAGTTGACTCCGTAAGTCTTCTTGTGGTGTTCTTGACTCCTCTGGCTTGCTCAGTCGTACCCCCATTTTCTCACAAGACTCCCTGAGCTCTGCCTGATGTCTGGCTGTGGGCCTCTGTATCAGTTTCCTTCAGCTGCTGGATGAAGCCTCTCAGAAGACAGTTATGCTAGGTATCTGTCTGCAAGCATAGCATATTTCTATTAATGATAATTAATAGTGTCAGGGGTTGGCTTTCTCCCATGGGATGGATGGGTCTCTAGTTCGACCCGCTATTGTTGTCTATTTTCTCAATCTCTGCTCTGTCTTTATCCCTGTGCATCTTGTAGGCAGGACAAATTTGGGGTTGAAAGTTTTATGGGTAGGTTATGTCCCCTTCCCTCCACTGGAAGTCCCGCCTGGCACACATGTGTATGTATTTTGTGTATGTCATTCATGTATGTATATATGTTTTCTGTGTGGTATTTATGCATGTGTACATATTTTGTGTGTGATAGGCATACATTGTATGTATATTTTGTGTGTGGCAGGCATGTGTGTATGTTTTATGTGTGACAGGCATGTGTGTATGTTTTATGTGTGGCAGATATGCATATGTGTATGTTTTGTGCAAAGAGGCGGGTATATGTATATTTCCTGTGTGGCAGGTGTACATGTATGTATGTTTTGGTCTTATACCAATTTTTTTCCACTAAGATATAACCAAATTTGATTAGATTCTACAAGTACTTTAAGGTGTTTTTGATATTTAAAAGTACTATGATTATGAAAAATGTGAAAGTTCCCTTATGATTTTAGGTACTTTGCATCTGTAGTCATCTAAGGAGTCACTGACAGTCTTCTTGGTAACACTGTAACTTATATGTGTACTTTCCCCCTCAGATTCCCAGGAAATCTAAGCTGGCGGTCCACAGGAACCTTAGAGACGATGAAGGCTTTATCATCAGGCACTTTGCAGGGGCTGTGTGCTATGAGACAGTGAGTACAGCATTACTGAGGAGAAAGCAGTCGGTGCTGAAACTACCCTCTGCAGTACAGTAGTGTCTGGCTGGTTAGACTTAGCCTTAAAAATTCGGTTCCTTGGTACTAGTCACCCTTAAAGTGCTGAATACACATCATGTATTCAGACAGCGTGGGCATGGGACGTTTGTGTTGTCTTAGGAAACAACATGGGACAGACAGAGTTCAGGTAGGGTATATTTACCACAGTACAGATAGAAACATTTTATTTTATTTTTTTCAGACCCAGTTTGTGGAGAAAAATAATGATGCACTACATATGTCTCTTGAATCCTTGATATGTGAGTCCAGGGATAAGTTTATACGGGCATTATTTGAGTCATCCACAAATAACAACAAAGATACGAAACAAAAGGCTGGAAAACTTAGCTTCATCAGCGTGGGAAACAAGTTCAAGGTATTTGTGCTAAATAACTTAATCACTGGGCTTTTTTTGTTGTTGTTGTTGTATTTAAGATTAAAAAAAGAAAAAAAAACATTGTTTTATATTGTAAAGTAGATCACGGAAGTGCCACAGGTATGTCTCAAGAAAAGACCCTGTGTTATTGATACTGTAAGATCTAACTGTAGTCCTAGTTAACTGAGTGTACAGAAATGCTTATATTTTCAGGCCGTGTTCCTACACTGCGTATCTGATTGATTCTCCTGATGTTCTTGCTTCCACATACTGCCTGCCTTCAAGTCTCCTCTTTCCCACGTGTTTTCTGTTTCCTTCCTTGTTCAGCAGTTTGGTTTAGCTGCCATAGTTGAGCTCGGGATGGCTAGAGAGGACTAGTTGAGGAGTGAGGAAAAGCAGGCACAGCCAGGGGCCTCAGGTAAATGAGCATCTTCACAGACTCTGATTCACAGCATGGCTGCTATGCTAAAGAGCCTGTCTCAAGGGAATGGTCCAGTTTGTAATTCATTTCCATGCGTTTTCTCTCATGGCATCATGGGCATGCATATTACAGTAAAACATGATTGACGCTTTTGATAACCTTTATAAAAGAGAAGTGCTCTCCCTGGTGTGGCAAACTCTTCAATTTGCTGATCTAACTTTAAGGAATAATTTGTTTTTATCAATCTTGAATCAAAATTAATTCTTTGAGGTCTAACAAGGACTATTTTAAAAGAAGGTGTGTTTTAGTGATAGAATGCTATTAATCACTTGTAATTATTGTTTAGTATAAAATTAAAACCTTAATAAATTATTACAATGCATAGACTAAAGAAATGCAACTAAATTCTCTCTAAATTTCCACAAAGTATCATTATATTTCTTATACAACTGCTCTTTGCCTTTTGAAAGGTATACTTAAATATTTAAAATGATATAATTAGGAAGAGTATATTTACGTAGAGCAGTGTGTTTCATTCTTCCTAATGCTTCGACCCTTTAATACAGTCCCTCATATTGTGGTGATCCCACCCATAGCATTATTTCCATTGCTACTTCATAACTAATTTTGATATTGTTATAAATTGTAATGTAAATATCTGATATGCAGCATATCTAATACTTTATTCCCGGGGGGGGGGGTCGAAACCCACAGGCTGAGAACCACCAATGTAAAGAGATCTGTGGTGCTTACTAGTAGCAGAAACCTTCTCAAATCCCTTTCTAGTTGAAATGGGTCTTGAACTGGGCTTGGTGACACAGGCCTCTGATCCCAGCTCCGGGGATGAAGAACTAGGAGGAGGATTTAGATTTCAAGGCTGGTCTCTGGTACCTGGATCAAGATCAGCCAGAGCTATGTGAGACCCTGTCCCAAAGCCAACAGCCAACCAAAAAAGACAAACAAAAAGAAAACAGAAAGAATTGACATGGATCCTAAATATCAAATTTGACACTTACATGTCTAAAAGCTATGTTTCTTTTTAAAAATTTTAAAATGTAAATATAGAAGAAATCACTTTTAGATAGCAGAATTTGTTTAAAAATGTATTGATTATGAGTCATTAATATACTCAGTGAGCAATATTTTTTTATGTAAGATTTTTCCATTCCAGATTAAACACTTAAAAACAAGTTGGTTTGAAAATAGCATGTTGGCAAGCTGCGGCGTCATGGCTCCTGTGGTCCCAGGTGACTCAGGAGACCAATGAAGGAGGATCCTGTGAGTGTAGGCATTCAGAGCCAGGCTCTTATATAAATATAGTGCTAATGCTAGTAAGAATGTATTTAAAATGATAGATATCATAAACATCATTTTATTTGGAGGCTTTTAATACATTGTAACTGTTCATATATATAACTTATCTACATTTTGCACTGACTGCTGAAAATTCTCAGTGAGTGATATGAACAATATATTCCACATACATTTTTCTCTGATTTGCTTTAAAATGAAGTCTTTTTTATTTTTATTTTGAAACAGGGCCTCATTATGTAACCCTTACTGGTCTGAAACTCACAATATAGACCAGGCTGACCTTGAACTCCCAGAAATCCACCTGCCTTTGCCTCCTGAGTGCTGGGATTAAAGGCATGTGCTACCATACTGGGGTGATATGGAGTCTTAATAGGACTCTTCACTTTAAACATACTTCAGTAGCTCATTGAATTAAACTTGAGCTGTGTAAACAAACAGAAAGCAGACTCTTTTCCAGTCATTTTCCACCAAGTGAAAATTTAAGGTTATTAAAAACATAATAATTTTACTGGTAGTATTTTAGAAAAAGTAATTTTTAATATAATTTTTCTATTACAAACACAAATATTTGTGTCTTAAAAAAAAACAAACCATAAAGGGCTGAGAGAGCGATGGCTTAGAGGTTGCATGTGCACTCTTGTAGGATATCCAAGTTCTTCCCCAAGCACTCACATCAGGCGGGTCACATGCACCTGTAACTAGTTCCAGAGAATCCAAAGCCTCTGCCTCCGAGGGCAATTGCACTTGTGACATGCACTCATGAATACATAATTGACGTCAAATCTCAAAATAATTAAGTAAATTATGCAAAAGAAGCCTGATTTGCCAAGAGTCCTTCCTTCTTCTGGGTGTGGCTTTGTGCTGATGAGCATCCTTTTCTGATTTCTCAGCGGCTGCTGTTTACTTTTTGCTTCCACTCTTCTGACTTTATCCCCCATTTTAGGGGAGGACAAAATACCACACTTGTCTATGGATTAAAAATGAGTGGATGTGTAACCATTGCTTTCTTTACAAAGAGGTTCTTGACTTGCTTTTCAGTTGTTTGAGGTATTGACTGATGTTGGCTTCTGTCAACTGGTTTTGTGCATGTGACTGTATTCTTCAGTCCCATGACAAATTCATTTATTCTGATATCAAGTAGCTTCATAGTAAGAGAAGGAACTTGGATGTCTGGGCTTTGCCATTGCTAGCTCTATGCTCTTGGGCATATTGTTTCTCTCCCTAGATCTTAATATCTGTATAATAAGCCCAGTAATCTACTTTTAATTAGGTTAATTGTATTGTACTCTTCATCAGATTAAATATAACAATACTCAGGAAAAGCTTTCTTTGAGCAGTGCCTCACTCACAGAAAAACATTCAGCAATGTTCAACACATTACTATTAATTACAGCTATGCTCAACACATTATGTTAATTTAAGAATTAGCATCTTAATTTGTATTTTCAAAGTAGTATAATAAGCATTTCAGCATAAAATTACTTTGTAGAATACCAAAACAAACAAGATTTAAGTGCACTGAACCAGGGCAAATTATAATCAGTGTTCTGGAACTAGGAAAGCGTGGTAACTGTAATCATTGTGAAAAGTTTTTAAAGAAAATTGAGGTTTTTTCTGTTGTTGTTTGGTTTTTTCGAGACAGGGTTTCTCTTTATAGTCCTGGCTGTCTTGGAATTTACTCTGTAGACCAGGTTGGCCTCGAACTCAGAAATCCTCCTGCCTCAGCCTCCCAAGTGCTGGGATTAAAGGCGTGCGCCACCACTGCCCGGCGAAAATAGAGTTTTAAAAGCACTTGAAATATATAACATTTTAAAATAGGAAAGGAAGTTTCTGAAACTACATTAGGACAGTTGTTTTGCTGTGGTGCATGGGCCCATCCTGATTTACAAATGGAGCTAGTTTTAAACACCAGGCTTCGTAGCATGCGACACGATGGTGCCTTATTTGTTACACACCTGGATATTGCACTGCAGCTTTCACACTGGGCATCCCCAGGATTGTCACAGGCTTTTACTCATCGCTTGCATAGTTGCCTTATTCATCCCATTTGTTAATGTGTCATAATCTGCAGCCTTAATTATGTAAGTCTCTGTAAATAATGTAAGTTATTGTCCTTGACATTTCATTATCTATTTTGCATGATGCTGCCTGTTCCAGAGTTTGTGTGCAGGGAGGTTGTTATAATATGTTAAATGTGGTTGTTTTTGCATGTTACTTTAGTCTAATAACAGACAGTTAATATTAATTTATCTCCACTGTATATTTTGACTTTCTAAAATAATCGTATTTTCTTTTCTTCCTAGACACAATTAAATTTGCTTCTGGATAAACTTCGAAGTACCGTGAGTACACTTAATAAGAAAATAGATTTTTAGTTGGAGCATCTATCTTCATCCTTCTGGTTCAGTCTACCTGACAGACCTTTTGTGAAGCAAGAATTATGAAGGACTTGCTTACCCTGTCTTGGTGGAGCTTGGCAGTAGACTTCCCTGGGTCTGTTTGTCCTTTCTGAGCAGCATTTTGTCTGTAGTTGAAGTCTGGACAATTCTCTGCTCAGTGGCAGCTTGCCACATTGAGGCAAATTCTAGATGCAAATTCCTGATGCTCGTTATCTTCTTTGAAATGGAATAGGATGCTGCCCAGAGCTGAGGTTTCTTAATGCCAGAAAGGTCTTAAATTAATAAAAACATCTTTAAATGCCAAAAAAGAGAAAGAACATTTTTTTAAAGATGGTCTTTTGAAACTATTATTAGTGGTTATCCAAGTAAATATGATTACCCTGGAATAATGGAAAGTATATTTTAAACCACATTCCCTTCCAAAGAGAAGCCAGTTTTTAGAGGACTAGAATTATTCTCAGTGCTAGATGTTTACCTGGTAGGCAGGAGGTTCAGGATGTCAGTCCCAGTGCAATCCAACCCCTCATCCCCATCCACACATATATATACCTAGCCATACAAACAGGTAGCTTTTAAGATGGTAAAAGCAAACGTATTTTAATATTAATGATAAACCATGTAATTATTATAGTAACATTCTTTAGACAGGACAGTGTGCTGCTATAGACAATAATGAACTTAATATTTTTGTCCTATATAAATGTCAAATTTATTACAAGTTCATCTTTTAACTGCGTTTTATTGACTCACTCTGGTATTTTTTTTCTAGTTGTTTTTGGTGGTGTTGGCATTGAACCTAGGATCTTGTTCATGCTATGCAAATACTCTACCACTAAGCTATACATTTGGCCCTTGGTTTTTTTTCTTCTATTTTTGGACAGGGTCTCCTCATATAGCTCAGGCTGGTCTCAATCTTGGTATGGAGCTCCCGGTGTCCCTGAGCTTGCAATCACCCTGTCTTTGCCTCAGTGTTCTGGGAATTACAGGTGTGACTTACTGTACTCTAGGGTTTTGACTGGAAAACAAACCCCATGTAGAAAGAAATTCTAATCTCCAAGTAAGGTGGTGCACACCTGGCAACCTCAGCAGCTGGGAGTCTGAGGTAGGAGGATTTTAAGTTTGGGACCAGCCTGGCCTTGCATAGTGAGAGCCTGTATTTAAAAAGCAAAATGAAAACCATGAATATGTGAGTTATAGAATAATTGTGATCCCAAGGAAAGGCTTACTTTTTATACAAACCACTGAGGTCAACTTGACTCTCCTCCTGAAGTACCAGCCGTTTTCAGCAGTCCTTGCTGATACTGTTTTGCTTACTGATGAAGACAACCTTTGGAGCCATCGAGAAAATCATGAATGTTCCGAGTCTCTAAAATATTTGACTCTTAAGACCATTGTGTAAACAATGATGTTGTTTTCTTTGAGAATTTCATACATGTATACAATGTTCACCTGGCACCCTTCCTCAGGAGTCAGGCATCTGTAAACATCAAGTCTGATGAGGAGGTTGTTTTATTTTCATTTCCCCATGAGTGCACGAGTGTAAAACGATGAGGTGATTTATTGATTTATAGAAACATGTCATCCAAGTGTCTGTGATGAGCATCATTACTGAAACACCTATTCAGTGTTGTAAGGGGGCTACTCCGAAGAAAAGCAGCTATTTGGATGTCTGCTACATTATCTTCAGTACATAGCACTTTCATTGTAATACAAACAGTATTTTTTCTGCTTTATTCAGCAAAATATGATCACTACATGGAAGCCTTTAAGTTTTTAAAAAATATTGCTAAACAAGCAAAACTTTAAAAGTACACAATGATGCTGTTTATTTTTAAAGTCGAACAAAAATACTGATTTATGTGTGTGTGTTGTTTGCTTACATTTTGGCCTAAATTTTAAACAGCGTTATGTTTTATTTCCCTTCCTAGCCTCTGTAGAGGCTGGAGATTGAGCTTAGTGATAGAATTTTTGTCCATGTGTGCAAGGCCTGGCCCTGGGAAACAGAAACCCAAACCCTCTGTGAGAAGAGTTAAACCTCAGAGTTCCTTGTTTAAATGTATTGAAATAGTTTGCAGTGGAAGACTTTTCTTTATTGATTTCTGACATTCAATACTAAAATGTCATTGTGCTAATATTTATTCATACTACAGAGATTAATTTAAAGGGTCAAATTATAGAAGTATGACAATAAAAAATTTAAGCTCCTTTATAATTATTTGTGTCATTTATTAACATTAATGTGCTGTGAAAGTTGGTGGTATTACTAGATACAGAAACATAAAGATGCTATATGTATCATCTTAAAAAGTATTTCTTATTCTCCCAGGGAGCCAGCTTCATCCGCTGTATTAAACCCAACTTAAAGATGACAAGTCACCACTTCGAAGGTGCCCAGATTCTGTCTCAACTTCAGTGTTCAGGTATCTCCATATTTTCAGTCTGTCACAATGTGTTTAGACAAACTTTCACCGTTACCTTCCTCATCTTCAAGTTCAACAAGATTCTTATGTTTCCCTTAATTCTGAACAAAGCACAGTGGGCAGATGACTTGAGCAACACTTACTTCTAGTTTCTATCAAGTAACATCATGGAAATACACTCAGTTGAGATATGTTCCTGGCAAACCTGCATCTCTCCACAGGCTGCTTCTAGCAGCTGCAGTCCACAGTAGTCCTCATTTCCCACACAACTGGACTAAGATGGGGTTGGTGTTCCTGATTTTCCTCCACCATTTGTGGGGGAAAAAATCAAAGCAGGATGAAGCCCTTGGGTTCTTTCATGAGTGTGGTTAATCTGTCCAGTCCAGCCCCAGCACCAGAACTCCAGGCAGTGACACTCTGCACATGCATCAGCGCAGCCATAGCTACTGCCTTGCACTTTCTGACCTCTTGGTTTGGTTCAGCTCAGGCCCTGCTGCCTTTCAAACCCTGATGTTCTTTCTCTGACACCTTATTCTGTTCCCCTCAGCCAATTTACAGTGAAACTGAAGTCTCTATAACTAAACTTTTTTCGAAGCCCTATACTTGATTTTGTACTAAAGAATCCTCCCCAGATGGGGCAAGCTTCAGATCTTGACATCTGACTCTTCTAACTCTTCTCACTAAACTTTAGCTGTTAAGAATTTAATCCAGCATTTTCTCCTTGTCTGTACAGGGTTGGTAGGCACCATTTAAATTAATGGCCACTAATATTTCAAGGTGTTAAAACCTCTTCTGCAATGTTCCCCTGCTCAGCATTTCTGTTTCTCTGTAGAGCCAGTTTGACCCCCTCCCCCAGGCTCCCTGCTCTCTTTAGAACTCTGAGCCTCTGCCTGCAGATGGCCTCTTCTCTTACCAAAGCCTTGGAGCTCCACCAGGATACTGCCAGGTACTTCATCCTGTCTGCATCCCCTTCAGGCCTGTCCCTGGTATAGTACCTTCCTGCCTCTCATCAGTCAGCAGTACTGAGTAAGAACTGGGCCAGGGCCCACGGGACAGGATGGAACGCCTTCATTTGCACTGAGACACACTAGACTCTCAGCTGTCGCTCACAGTGGCTTTCAGATTCTCTTCTCTTCCACTGTTCGCTCTACTTCCTTTTCTGTTTGCCACTTTGCTTTTGAGGCTTCTGTCTCCTGCCTTCCATTACTTCTGTAACCCCTGGCATTACCCAGTATGTAACCAGGAAATCGATGCTATGAGCTTTCTTAAGCATTTGAAATGTGGCTGGCAGGACTTCTGTAGAAGTGATTTTCAATTTTATTTAATACTGAAATATAAAACAGCTATGTGTGCCTAGTGCAGCTAAGGACCTATGGCTACTGACTGCTGTGTTGGATAGTGCAGCACATATTCTGTCTCTTTTTCAAGAACTGTGGTCTACACAGTGAGTGGAGTGGTGTTGCTTCCCAGCCCAAGCTGAGCCTGCTCTCACTGGCTTTCCTACTGCAGTCACCATGTGCCCTCCTGGCACCTGCTCAGTACATTGTGGATATGTGTAGCATTATCTCTTCACAGTCAGCTCTGACCATGTCTTCTTATTGCATGCAGCACTCTGATGGCCCCTGCTGAGCATCAGGGAGAAGAGTAGCATCCTGGTGCTATCTGTCCCTCTGTGTTCCTACTCCTGTCTTTGCATGCTTCTGTCTGTGCTACAGCCACACAGCCTTGTACTCACTGTTCTACATCCACATCCCACTGCAGGGCCTGTGTCTACTCTGCATCTTGTTGGGATATCTTTCCTTCATCTTTCATACATCAGGTAGGAACAGCTTCCTGTGAAAGCCAGCCTTGATCCTGGCTCTGGCTCGGGCTCGGTTTATGGCAGTGAGGTGTGGCACTTTGATTTCACAGCCATAGTTACAGATTTTATGTATACTTATATAAAGTATGACACTAATGTGCTGCCTACTGTGCTAAAGAGATGCCTGCTAGTACAATTATTTAAGGTTTCCCTCCAGGAACTGTCTGGTTTCTACTGTTTGTTTTTCTACTGTGTATTAGACTAACTCATCATTAAATAGAATGCACAGTCTATCGGATACAAAAGTTTATTTTTGATTAATTTAAAACAAATACTGGAAAGTCATATAATGAATGCTTGAGGTATTTCTGCATAGAATAATGACTCTTTTTGCACAGCTAATCACATTAATTTAAAAATCTTTTGCCCCTTAGAAATAGTGATCACGGGAGTGATCACAGGACTTGGTTTATTGCCTTGCTTGTTCTTTGACTATTTGTGTTTATTGTCTTGCTCGTTCCTTGACTATTTGCATCTATTGTATTGCTAGTTCCTCAACCTAGAACTGTCCTTTGTACTTGCATGTAATTAAAATGGTATAAAAGCAAAGAGGAGGAGGGATGGGATAGGAGGTGTTTATGGCAAGGGGATGGGGTGGGGAAAGGGGATAACATCTGAAATGTAAATAAATAAAATATCCAATAACAAAAAACAAAAGAAAATCTTTTGCATATACATTGCAGAGGAATCCCGTTTCTAACATGTTCTTAGTCAGGTGTCAGGTGTTACTTAATAACAACAGAGATATATTCTGAAAAACACAGTAGTTATGTTGTATGTTGTCTTTAAGATTTTTTTTTTTTTTACTTTGAATGTGTGACTTTTCCCTTTTAGGCTTTGTTTAGCACAACATACTGATCTCCACAATGAGCATCTAGCATCTGTTTGTCAAGTGAATGCAGCTGCAGTTGTGTGTGTTTAGATTAGCAGAGCGTGGCCTTACTAGTGTGTTATAGGATTCCTTCTTCTCGCAGAGTGTATGTCAGCACAGTTAGCTAAGTTGTAGCTTAACAGGTGACACCATTTCATTGTCAAAATTGTGACCAGTGCCAACCAAACCTTACCTTTTTTCCTATGAGCAGACCTGAGAACTAAATCCTTTTCTGGTCATTCATGAGCTCTAAGCCAGCCTGTACTATATAGCCACAAGCTAGGGCTGTAGCCTGAACTACATAGCCACAAGCTAGGGCTGTAGCTCAGTCCAGTGGTAGAATATTTGTTTAAGCACGTGAAAGGCCCTGGGTTCATGTAGCCGCCTGTGGCCACGAGTCAACTGGGTTCACCTGAAAGGGGGACGGAGGGCGAGAAGAGAAGAGATGAAGCCAAGATAAAGTTCTTTGATCAAGGCTCGATGCTTTAATGTTCAGCTCTCAATTTAAAGGGAAAGACCCTGCCCGAACCCTTCCTAGTTTCAGCAGGAGAGATGGTTGGGATAATCCGTTCTTGGTCACTCGGAGATGTCAAGGCAAGCTCAGCAGGCAGTTATTCTTCTAAGTTCCTGTAGCCGGCTGAACGTGCAGCCAAGGTGGGTAACTCCACCTAGGTGTCTATAGTCATGCAGCCAAGGTGGGTAATTCCACCTAGATCCTATTATTTGGTCTATTGTGGTAAACAAGGTCTCTCAGGCCTGTTCAAGGCTGGGGGAAGGACACAGGTTCAGTCCTTGGGACTACAAGGAAAACACCAGTGGTCTCTATGTGTTGCTTTAATTCATGTATATTATGTGATAGATATATTTTTATGCTGGATAGATAAATTCCAGCTCCCTAATTAATGTATTATATTATATTTTATGGGTGTAATACAATTGAATGAATAGATTTTTAAGTTATTTCTGTTTTGTTGTTGTTGTAAGCAGTGACAATAGGTATTGAGAAAATTGTGATTTAGAGTCATAAAAGTAGAAAGGATACAAAAGGGGAGTCTTTTCACGTTGTCATCTAGAACTGTTGCCTTGGCATCCATGCCCTCTTACAGAGCACACTGAGTTTGATTCTTTTTTTTTTTAGTCAAATAGACTAGTATTCAAACTATAGAAGTGTTGGTTTCTTAAGATTATTTTAAAATTAAGAACTCATGTATTAAAATTATATTCTCTTTTATAAATTTGAATTTGACCAACTGGAATTCATTTTGGCATAAGGAATAGAGTAAGGATATATTATTATTGTTTTTGTTTTCTACATATGCTACTCATATTTTCATATTTCATATTTTTAGCACTTCTAATTTCTTTAATATTGATTTAGTAACTGCATATATATATATAAGCTCTCATGGTAATGTAGTTAAAAGGTTTTTCACGGTGCACAGCTTGTAACAGATCACAGCAGACTAGACGGTTCCACAGAGGAGGTTTATTAAGAGAGTGGGAGAGCGAGAGGAGAGAGAGGAGTAGAGAGAGGGTAGAGGCCGGCCATGAACACGTGGAGAGAGGGGGGAGGGGAGAGGGCAACCTGCAGGCGCAGGTCAACTGAGAGGAGGGGGGGCAAGCAGCCCCTTTTATAGTGGGCAGGGCTACCTGCCTGTTGCCAGGTAACTGTGGGGTGGAGCATACCTTGCCGCTGCCAGGTAACTGTGGAAGTGGAGTTTAACAGATTACTAACAGTAGTTACCATGATAATGTACCTGTGCTGACCATTACTGCAGTTTTTATTTGGATTTTGTTTTTGCAGTGTTAGAAATTGAAGCCAGTGCCCCCTGAGCATGAGAGGTGTACCCTCCCACTGGGTCCCATCCCCAGCCTCCAGCACAGTATTTTTGGTTGAATATTCCCCTCACTGCCTTTTGACTTGTGTGCTCCCGTGTGTCAACACCAAGTCTGAGCATGGAAGCTGTTGGACTTTTTCTTTCTGTGATATTTAAGGTGCAGATACTATTTTGACCTTTCCATGTAGGCTTTTTTTTTTTCCTGCCTTAAAGACAATCATTTTAAGATATCAGTCTGGACTGCCCCACCTATCTATCCCATGTGCAGTCACCAAAGGCAAACACTGTTGTGGATGCCAGGAAGTACATGCTGACAGGAGCCTCTGCCAGAGCCTGACATATAAAGAGGCAGATGCTCACAGCCAACCATTGAACTGATCATGGGGTTCCCAATGGAGGAGTTAGAGAAAAGACTGAAGGAGCTGAAGGGCTTTGCAGCCCCATGGGAAGAGCAACAATACCAACCAACCAGAACTCCTAGGGTCTAAACCAGCAGCCTGGGAGCATACAGGGATGGCTCCAGCTGTATATTTAGGGGAGGATGGCTTTGTCGGGTGTAGGTGGGAGAGGAGGTCCTTGGTTCCTCCAAGGCTGGATGCCCCAGTGAGGGGGAATTCGAGGTCCAGGAGGTGGGGGTGAGTGGGTGGGTGGGGCCACACCTTCGCAGAAGCAGGAAGAAGAGGGATGGGGAAAGGGGATAACGTCTGAAATGTAAATAAATAAAATAGCCAATAAAAAATAAAAGAAGAAAAAGGAAAAAGATAGTCACACTTGAAATGGTCTAAAACATTTTTGAAATATAAAAGATACTTCATTCCCTACAAAAAGAAAAAAGAAAAAAAAAAGATAGCAGCTTAGTTTGGTTTCTATCATTGTGGTTAAGACCATAACCAAAAGCAACCTGAAGAAGGAAAGGGTTTACTTCACCTTACAAATCCCAGGTCACACTCAGTCACTGAGAGAAGTCAGGGCTGGAACTCAAGGTGGGAACTAGGAGGCAGGAACTGAAGCACAGATGGTGGAGGAGCACACTGTTTACTGATTTGCAAACAAGCCTTATACAACCCAAGACTGCAAGACCCCATATCCAGGGGCAGCACCACATGCTATGGCCCTCCAATATCAATCAAGAAAATGCCTCATAGATTTGCCTACAGGCCAATAGAGGCATTTTTTTTTCAAATGGTGTTCTCCCTTCTCAGATGACTTCAGTTTGTGTCAAATTGACTAACCAGGACAGATAGCTTCTACTAAAATTGCTATCTGGCAAGTATCAGGACAATGTAAGGGAGGACAAGAGAGCCAGACTCTCTTCTTCTGTAACTTGTATTGCCTGTCTGTTAATGCTGACCGGAAAAGTTCATGTTGGCTTGACCATTTATTAGAGTTAAATTAATACTTCATATTTATCCTATAGACTCAGATTCTCAACCAATAGATAAGTATTTTTTGAGAACTTAGCAGAAGCGGTCTTATTTTGAAGCTGGGGCTAGAAACTAAGACCTTGGACATGCAAGGCTAGTGAGCTACTTGGTAGTAGTAGTTCCAACCCAGTAAAAGTGTGTGTGTGTTGTGTATATGTGGTGTATGTATATGTGGATGTGGTGTGTGTATGTGTATATCTATGTGTGTGTCATGTGTGTATATGTGGTGTATATATGTGTGTGTGTGTGCTGTGTGTGCATGTATATGTATATTACACATGATATTTAAATAGTAAATTTTTCCCTTTTGCTTCATATTAGTTCTTGAAAAAAATGTAGAAATAGAGACTTTTTCAGAAATTTTACTCTAAAATTGCCTTAGGACTTAAAGTGATCAAATGCAGGACTTTGCTTTATGTACTTTTGTGGAATTTAGAAAGATACAAGTCATACTGGAGCCTTCTGGATGGACTGCCTCTGGGAAATGGTCAGCTGTGCTGATTTCACATTTCCTTGTGGCTTCTTTACTTGATAAATAAGCCAGGACTCACTGACTGGAGGTGTGATTTCTTGGTTCATCCTCACTGCTGATCCTCCATCCCTATAAGCTGACTTTTCATAAACTTGTAAAATTGATGGGTTACTCATATGTCACCCTGGAATTCCAAACTGTGACTGGAAATTATTTGTGCTCATGACTCTAGGTATGGTGTCTGTGTTGGACCTAATGCAAGGGGGCTTCCCTTCAAGAGCCTCATTTCATGAACTTTATAACATGTACAAGAAGTACATGCCAGAAAAACTTGCAAGATTGGATCCAAGGCTATTTTGTAAGGTATAAATGCCGTTTCAATAGAAATTTCTTAGCAACAAATCTTTTCTACTAATTTGTAGTTGAAACTCAACTTTTAAAACTTGTTTTTCAGGCTCTTTTTAAAGCTTTGGGATTAAATGAAGTTGACTACAAGTTTGGGCTAACAAAAGTATTTTTCAGACCTGGCAAGGTAAATATATATGATAGTTGGGCTTCGTATGTATATTCTTAGTTATTAGTGATTTATATTATCACAACATTATATGAAATAGCATGAGATTATGTTTCTACTCACACAGGTTTCCTGTTTGGGGGTGTTTCTTATTCTGGGTTTAAATTATAGTTTTAATCAATATTGGAATCAGAGGATTGTTTAATTTTTTTTAAATAAGAACTAACCAAAACTTTCTAACATTTTAAATAAGTTGAAACCATTTCTAGAATACTTTAATAATGGGCCAGATAGATAGCTCAGCATGTAACCCAAGCTGTCACAGAATTCTCTATCTAAATTAGCCCAGACTCCTAAATGCCAGAACTATAAGCATGTACCAGCTTGCTTAGTAGGTGTCGTAGTATGTTGGAGTTTCCATTGTGAGAAGGTTTCACTGGAGTGTGGTAAATACATAAAGCATATGAAGCTCGATTGGAGTTTGTACTGATTGTTGTCAAATTTGACAATGAAGAAATGTATGAACACTACATACATTCGATTGTTTGTTAGGCTAACATAATACTGAATTTGTGAATTGTGATATTGTAGAATACTTCATCGCTAACTGTATTCAGTACGCAAACACCTAAGGCAATTCACAAGTGTTAATAATACCACTTCCATGTTCCTAACATTCGAAACACTGACTATATAATTATTAAATAGAAATAATTATATCCTTATAATTGTAAATATAATTATTTCAGGTAATAGTTGCACTAGTCAACTATCTCTAGTTTCTCAAGAATAAGGTAATTATAATAAATCTAATTTCACAGTTTTGAGCACAAGATGAAAACACGCAATTGCGTTACTAGTCTGAGGTGTCTTTGTCACAGAACCTACACCATTTCCTGAAAAAAATGAAGAGAAAAAGGAAACATAGGTGTTGATAGCTGGCTTCGCATTACTTTGTGTTATTTCTCATAAATTCAACCTATCTCTTGCTCCAGTAGCTGGATAGAGAGAACTTGGGTTATTTGTCTATAGAAAGATGCAAAAGGGTTGTTGGAAGCTTAAAGCAAGCAGATTCAGAGATGCATAGTCTTGTTATACTACCTTTAAGATTTTTATGATTGAAAACTTGTTTTGTTGATTGGCATATAACACCTTTAACACTGCAGTGTGACATTTGGTGAAGAATGGAAATAATTCTTGAATTTGATGGTAAATAGAAGAAGTATTTCATTTACGTGGTCTATCTCTTAGTAGTAATTTCCTATTTTTGTCTAAAATGAGTGTTAGGAGAGACAGTACTTTTGGTGGCTCCCCTGCTGTAGGTGACCTTAACTTTTTGAGCATGAATTTCTGAGAATATCATGAATTGGTTTAGACATGTTGGCCCATTTAACATTTTACCTCAAGTATTTTTACCAATTTTCTGTAATCAGTCATTTAAGAGGGGTTTTTTATACCTATTTTTGCTGCTACTTAGGAATAAATAAGTATTCCTTCCTACCTTCCAAAAAAATTGATGAGGGAAAGACAGAAGGAAAGGACCATGACATGTGGTTAAATTTGTTTAAGTTTTCTGTATACTCTGCTAAGATATCCCTGGAATTGGCTTTGAATCATTTTCAGGAAGTTATATTTAGGATTTGAAATTCATGTAGTTATTTTTCTCTATTTGAACACATTTACCCTTTAATGCTGAGACTAAATTACCTGACTCCTAGTTTGCAGAATTTGATCAGATTATGAAGTCTGACCCTGATCACTTAGCAGAGTTGGTGAAAAGAGTCAATCTGTGGCTAGTCTGTAGTCGCTGGAAGAAAGTTCAGTGGTGTTCACTGTCAGTCATCAAACGTAAGTATTTCCTTCTGGCATAGAAGCTCTTTTTTTAATTCCAGTGCTTGGGAGGCTGAGGTAGAAGAATCAAGAGTTTTAAGGTGTGGGGTTGGAGAGATGGCTCAATGGTGAACAGCACAGATTACTCTTTCAGAGGACTGAGGTTTGATTCCCATCACCCACAGCTGTGTGTAACTTAATTCTAGGGAATTCAGTACCCTCTTCTGGCTTCTGCGGGTATTGCATGTATCAGGTGCTCAGGCAGGCAAAACATCCATACACGTAAAAGAAAAACAAAGAGTAAGTTCAAGACCTTCCTTGAATTGCAACTTTGTCTCAGTAACAACAACAACAACAACAAAACTTCTCACCAAACTATGTCTTATTTAACACCAAGATTTGTTACTTTGGAAGTGAGGTGGTTGTAGATGCTACTGGGTAGCTTTGGTTGCTCTTGAGTCTTGTGAAATGGTTCCCAATACCTAATCTAACATTGTAGACTTATTTTTAGTTTTTGAAGATCTGATGACATTTACTATCTGAGATATGTTTAGGGATGTTAATTTCAGCATGTCCTAAGCAAACAGAATTTACTCTCTTCCTTCTCCCCGAGTTCTTTCCTTGATTCCCTGCACCTCCCCATGTTCTCAGATTTTAACTGAAACCATTCTCTCTCTGCCTAAATGGTATCTACCTTAGACACTCTCAAGAGATGATCTATTCTGTCTCTGTGTCTGCTCCTGTCTGGGAACCCTCTCTCACCCCCAGTCCATTTCATTTGAAGTGCTGTGTATTGAACTCTGGGCCTTCCAGATGCTAAGCAAACTACCCCTGACTGGATGTTGTCTTTCTTTTCAAGCATCAATAGTTATGAAATGATGTGGGTCTTACCTTCTGGTAGTATAATCCTTTATTCTCATTGGCAGTACTTTAGTGGGGCCTCTTTTGTCCCTTACATTCTAACTTTATTAGCTCTCAAAACTGTTTGCCAGCTCCCCACCCTCTTTTCTTTTCTAAACCAAAAGGATTTCCTAGTTTTCCTTCAATGACTAGCAGAGTTTGAACTCTCAGTCTGCCTTTCTAGACCATAGTGGGATTTCAACTTATCTTTGCAGCCTCTCCTGTTCCTCCCCTCTTGGACTCTGCTCTTCAGTACACTGGAGCGAGCTGAGTTTGAGTGTATTTCTGACAGATTATGACAGCTGCTTATATCTGGTCTAAAACATGAGTGAGTGCAAAATATTTTGGATTTCTTGAAGGTCAGTGGTGAAAGCTTAATGGTTGGGAGCTATGTGGAAATCAGTCACCATGTCCCTCATCCAGACTACCTGAAATAGTTTTGTGCATTAGGGAGGATTCAGAAGATGAATCTTTACTAACAGAAGAGTAAAATTCACTGGGTCTATCACAAAGGAACTAGGCACATTATTATTGAGATCTTTTGTTAGACAATAGTGTATATTTATAAAAATACTGTAATAAAGAAACAAGACAAGAGAGCCTCATTCCTTATCATTTTCCAAGTAAGATATAAGCGTTTTTTGACCAAGCCAACTCAGTCAATAGGTTCTCCAGAGAGGGAGTGAGGATTAAAAAGAAAAAGACACTGTAGCATGACCCCAGCCTGTTTTTCGACTGTTTTGGTTTTTTTTTTTTTTTTTTTTTTTCTTTTTTTTTTTTTTTTTTTTTTTTTTACAGTCTGCTTTTATATCATTCTAGGTACATACAAAGAATATGGTCAGTGCTAAGTCATAAACAAAGTAGTTAAGGAACAAACCAAGTGTAGACAGGGTAGGTAAGGAGTAAACACAGCATAGACAGTAAGCATGGGAAGGTCCCATGTTTACTGTATTTAGGGTCTTAAAAAGACCCATCAAGATACAAAGAACACATTCCTCAGCTGTATTCATCTTGAGTCTACTTCCTTGGCCTAGCTCAAAGTCAAATTTCTGCCTGAGCCTACTTCTTTGCTCTAGCTCAGAGTCA